ATGTAGTCATCCTCCATGATTCCTGTCAGCTGAATTACTAAGACCAACCTCAGGCAAGTGCTATAATCACAAAATGAAGCTTAGGCTCCTGGGAATCTTTCACTATTGTTCATTTATAAAGCACTGATTAAATCTATTATGCGTCACTGCTGACAACCCGGAAATGTGGGACGAACCCAGAAATGTGGGCTGGTGTTGTGCCAAAAATCGATTGGCTGCCAAATGGCAGCCGCGGGAGCGTGTACGGGAGGACTTTAACAAGTATTTAACAAGATTAACACTTAAAAACAATTATTTGTTTGATCGAAATTATAGTAAATGTGTGTCTCAGTCTACCTTTTGCTTAATAAATGCACTTTGACAGTCAAATCAGCTGCATTTCAAAACCCAATTTGTGGAAGCGGCGGGCACGTGCAGAGGGACGTGCCTCCACATTTCTCAGAGTCAGAGTCAAAAAATCTTTATTGTCGTTCGCACCCCATGTGGTACATGTGGTGGAACAAAATTATGTACACAGGGTCCCAGTTACATCCAACAATAAAATGTAAAAGAAAAACGATGATAGCATCCAAAATATTAACTAAGAAAAACATCAACTAAATATACACTAAGCACTAATAGCATAAAAACATTACTTCGAACAGCAGCACGAACATGAGTTTGTGTGAGCAGATGAGCAGCATGAACACATCAACTTGAAACAGATCAGCAGCAACATGAAACAGATCAGCAGCAAAATGGTGTGATTTTTTACAGTGATTATTCTGGTTAGAGATTTGTGAGTCAGCTTCAGGGAAGAAGCTGTTCCTCAGTCTAGTGGTTCTACACTTAATGCTCCTCAACCTCCTTCCTGAGGGGAGTGGGGCAAAAAGTGTGTGTGCTGGGTGAGTGGGGTCCTTCATGATGCAGGTGGCTCTCTTCCTGCATCTGGAGGTGTAAATGTCTGTGATGGTGGGGAGGCTGACTCCAACAGACTTCTGTGCAGCCTTCACCACTCTTTGCAAAGCTTTTCTTTCTGCAGCTGTGCAGCCTCCATGCCACACGTTGATGCTGGAGCACAGGATGCTCTCCACTGCACACCTGTAGAAGGAGGTGAGGACTGAGCTTCCCAGTCCAGCTCGTCTCAGCTGCCTGAGGAAGTAGAGTCTCTGATGAGCTTTTTGATCAGACTGGAAGAGTTGTTACCCCAGCTGAGGTTGTCATTCATGTGTACACCCAAGTACTTGTAGCTGGAGACCACTTCCACAGCAGATCCTTTTATGTTCAGGGGTGGTATAGGTGTTTTTGTTCCTTCTGAAGTCCACAATCATCTCCTTTGTCTT